AGTGCAGTGGCACAATTTCAGCTCACTGCAATCTCCACTTCCTGGGTTCAAGCGATTCTCTTGCCTCAACTTCCCGAGTAGCTGGGACTACAAGTGCCTGCCACCATGCCTGGCTAATTTTTGTATTTTCAGTAGAGCTGGGGTTTTACCATGTTGGTCAGGATGATCTACATCTCTTGACCTTGTGATCTGATCGCCTCGGCCTCCCAAAGTGCTGGCATGACAGGCGTGAGCCACCGCACCCAACCTGGAGGCTCTTTCTTGTAGATATGGATGGTGAGTGAATCAACATTAACTCAGGTGAGGAGGCTCTGATCTTAAAGGTCTATTGTGAAGAGGAGTAACACAGCATTGGTTCTTCTGGCTGAAGACAGCTAAAGGGAGTTAGATTGCTCTCTGGACCTGGCAATGTCTTAGAGGGAGGTAGGGGAAAGAGACTCACCTGCAGCTGGGCCCACCTTGTAAATTGCTTATCTCCGAGAAGAGGCAGGTACCTTGCGGCTCTGCAGCTTCTCACAACTTCGACTTAATGTTTTGCTTTTCAAGGAGTTTGCTCGGTGGGGCAACTTTCTTTCTTTAATGCTTGGGCAGCTGCATCTTCTGGTTCCTGGGCAATGAATTAAATGAAATTGCATATTGAGAATGTATATACTGTTGTTACTTCAGTGGGTTTTGGTGAATATCCCGTTTGATGCTTTAAAAAAATACATTTTACTGTGTATATTTAGAGTAGACAGCATGAGGCTGGGTGCAGTGGCTCATGCCTGTAATCTTAGCACTTTGGGAGGCTGAGGTGGGAGAATCATCTGAGGTCAGGAGTTCGAGACCAGCCTGGCCAACATGGTGAAACCCCGTCTCTACTAAAAGTACAAAAATTAGCTGGGCGTGGTGGCACATGGCTGTAATCCCAGTTACTAGGGAGGCGGAGGCAGAAGAATCACTTGAATTCGAGTGGTGGAGGTTGCAGTGAGCCAAGATTGCACCATTGCACTCCAGCCTGGGGTCTAGAGCGAGACTCTGTTTCCAAAAAAAAAAAAAAAATAAAAATAAAAATAAAAAATAAAGTATACAGCATGATATTACAGGATGCATACATATAGCAAAATGGTTATCATAGTGAAACAAACTAACATTTTCATAATCTCACAGTTATCCATTTCCTGCCCCTCCTTCGCCCCCATAGCGAGAGCAGTTATAATATACTCATTTAGCAAAAATCACGAATATAATACTCTATTATTAACTACAGTCCTCTTGTGCATTAGATCTTTAAACATGTTCAGCCTATACATCTGCTACTTTGTATCTTTTGACTTGTGTGGTGTATTTAAAACTGTGGCTATGACGTATGACTGGTCTATGAAGTCATTTTAGTGAGTTTTGATAAGCGTGAGAGAGATAAACACTATGCAAAGACAGAAACAGAATTGTCTATTTTCTTCCCTTCTTAGGGTCCTGATTCTCGAAGATTTTCCAACTTTCCCAAATCATCTTCTGGAGTCTTTCCCCCTCACTGTCGCTTGCCAGAACAGGGTGAGCCTCCTGAGATACTCTCCCAGTGGGTCAATTGCAGAGAAGCCCAGATCAGCAAAAGACACCATCAGAGGCAAGTTTGAGGCTCACAGGTCCCAATGCATGGGACCCAGTTTCTGTGCCTGTGTGCAGAGATGGAAGCTCATGATTGTGCTAGTTTACACCCTCATCCACAGGATAGGATGGGACTTGTTTCCCATGCTCATGCCAACACTCTGTGCTATTACCCAGCTTATCAAAACCTGATAAGAAAACAATATCTCTTTAGTTTGTATTTCTTAATCACAAATGAGCATACATTCATGTATAGATAAAATCATATTTAATTTGAATGGAAGTGTGCCTTTTCCATTCATCAAAGCCCCAGGAGTTGGATCCCTAGAATAATAAATGTATATGCTCAGCCTCTTCTCTCAGGAGTCTTCATGGTTTCCTGATCTACAATTGTTTGGGACACCATGACCTGACACCCTGGAGATGTGTCAGCACTAGCTCTACACACAGCACTTGTCATAAAATCTTTCCATTCACTGCTATGTGTGATGGGTGACGTTCCCACACAGGGCACAATTCGCTAGATGCTTCCCTGCATCTTCTAGCAGTAGGAGCCATGACACAGGAACGATAAGCTGTGAGTCAGGCACAATCTCCAGGTGCCAGTCTGCAGCTCCACACCTTTCTCTCCCACTGGTCGAGAGACTCCCATATGTATCAAAATTAGTGAAAATGGCATTCCAAGACCACAGCTCCTCACCTCCCTTTGCAGTAGACTTCATGCCTCTAGAGACTGGTATGTCTAAAGTCAGAATCCACCCAGAGAATGTTGTGCACGTAGGTGAATGAAGGAGGGTGACAGGTTCCCATCTCTCACACTCCGTGTTCATCGCTTCTTGTTACTGAACCTGGCCTCATATCCGGACACCAGTGACCACAGGGACTCTTTTTAAAGGGTTGGGAAGGAAGTCTTAGGATCCCTACCCACTCCTTCACCTCCTTTGAGAAAAATACAAATCAGCGGAACCAAGCGACTTTACAAAGAGTCATACAACATCAGTGTCATTATGCAAAATGGCACACTCAATTGAAGCCCAAGCCAGGACCCAGGCAAGTTAGCAGAGAGAGGTGTCGTCTGAACACAGAAGGCTTCAGCAGTGATGTTATAAAGTAACTAACCAGCGTCATGTGTTGTGAATGAACGAAATCATGGCTTTTAGCCCATGGAATGGATCTGGACAGAGGATAAAGTCAAAAGATGGGTGCTACTTAGCAAATCAAAGGAAACGACTTTAAAAGTCTGGTTCTCTGATTTATAGAGAAGCTTCTTGGTATGTGATGAGGTGGAGGAGAGTAACAAAAGGGTGTTTGAAGATGTAACATATGCAGATTGCACCCAGGGGCCTCTGGAGGTTGGGACAGCCTGCCCTGGCAATGTCTCCTAACAATGGTGTCTGTAAAGGGTTATTCACTGGTGAGCTCTGACTAACCCTTAGGTAAGAGCTAACCACTGCTTACTTTCCTGAGAAACCCAGTCTGGACTGAATGCTCAAATTTTGTATTTCTTCTTGATAGAAGTCCAATGGCCTGTGTTTCACATATGCATATCCAATCTCTATAGAGATATATGTTCGGTTTTTGTTCAATGCTCAGGGGACTGGCAAAAAAATCTCATTTTCCCAAACATCTAGTTATAATCACTTTGGAAGTTTTGTTCCACAGTAGGTTTTTCTCAGTCTCGGGGTCTATGTATCTATTGCCACAAATTTTGGGAGAAAACTTTTGGGCTCTCAGCAGTCATGTGTTTTGGATCGCTAGTATCAAGACCTATCTGAATGTAGAATGTATAATATGACCATTGTAGAGACAGGGTCCCTGGCATCTCCCAGTTTAGCCCTCGGAGAAACTGTCTTATTGTACTAACACCCCCACATCTGTATTTTCTGAGATACAAAGGGAAACATACACAAGGTCGGATTTTTGTTTTACATCTTAATTTCAACTTCTTGCCCAGTTTCTAGGCCTTTTAATCCTTCTTAGTTCAGCCAATGACACCAGTAGTTCTCTTTGGGGGAGGAGGACTTGGTGGTGGTCAAGGTGAAGAAAGATTCTTGGAGTTGAAAGAAACTGATGTGGAGAATAGGCTTTATACTTTTTTTTTTTTTTTAAGGTGAATCATTTTTATTAAAATGTAGTTTGTTTTTATTTTATTTTTAATTATTTTTTCTGTCATTTTGCTGTTTATTTTCAATATGCCTTGTAAGTTTTTTTGTGCCTCATTTCCTGCATTACTATCTCTTGTATTTTTTTAAAAATTTATTTATTGTACTTTAAGTTCATTCTCAGCAAACTGACATAGGAACAGAAAACCAAACACCGCATGTTCTCACTCACAAGTGGGTGTTGAATGATGAGAACACATGGACACGGGGGAGGGGAGCATCACACACTGGGGCCTGGTGGGTGAGGGGCTAGGAGAGGAATAGCAGGGGGTGGGGGGATTGAGGAGGGATAGCATTAGGAGATGACAGGGTGATGGGTGCAGCAAACCACCACCATGGCATGTGTATACCTGTGTAACAAACCTGCACCATCTGCACATGTACCCCAGGGCTTTATACTTTATAGTGAGGTTGATCTTAGAAAAATGATTTCACATCTCTGGTCCTCAATGGCTTATTTATTTATGTTGTAAAATTAAGAGTACCCACCTCCCAGGTTGGAAGTAAAGATGAAAAGGTATCATTGCTCAATCCCCTAGTACGTAGGGTGAAGGTTCAAAACTAACTTTAGAATCAAGGAGGCAAGGCATGAAGAGGGCCCACTCAATGTGCTGATCACGCAACGTCCTTTGATTTTCATGGCCAAGTCCTTACTTGAGGTTCAGCATGATTATTGCTCATTTCTTTTTGTTTGTTTCTGGCTTCTTGAGCTTGCCCTGCTTGGTCGAGATAAGCGACAGTGTTCAGAGTCATCCTCATTCTCATGAGGTTCTCAGGTGCCTTGTTTGAAACATCATGTCTACCCAAGTTACAGTTGTTTCCCAATGGCAGGAACTGTTCTGTGCTTAACCAACTCTATGCCAAGCGTCAGCACAGTGCCTGGCATCCAGAACGTGCCCAGGGGATGTGTGTTGTGAACGGATTTGTCTGAGTCTTGTTGCTCCTCAAAGTGAGTCTGAAGGGCAACCAACTAAAGAAAGAAGAAATATAGGACATCTTGATAACCCAATGCCATAACATTCACCAATACCAAGACTCAGTTTCCTCCCTGGATAGGGAAGGCTGGTTGAGTCTCAACCCAAGTGAGCACCACTGTCATCACAGGGGTTAGTCCTGCTGCACCACTGACCAACAGGAAAGTCTGTGTCTCTGGAGTGGACACATCCATAAAGAGGCCAAACCCTGTCAAAGTCTAAGCATCTGATGGCTAAAATAACATGGCTTCCTTGAAAAATAATAAAAAGCTTCTGACCTCCCACCAGCAGCCAACCTGATATCAAAGAGGCAAGAGGCATCTCAGATTCGTCAACATTCCTTTAATGAGCTGAGAAACTTTTCATGGTAAACTCAGCAGCTGAGTAACAGGATGATGGTACCACAACAGGTAGATAATCAAGGCAGGAGGTCAAAGCGTTGGAGCCAACACCCACCCCGGATGGGGTATAAAAGGGCCGGGAGGAGAGGAGGCTTCAGACTCAGTGGCTTGGCCTTCCCAGCTGATCTGAAGCTCCTGTGCAACCTCAGCCCAACACCATGACCTCCTCCTACAGCAGCTCCTCCTGCCTTCTGGGCTGCACCATGGCTCCTGGAGGAAGAAATGCCTGCGTCTCTCCCATCGACACTGGGTGCCAGCCCGGGGCAGAGGCCAAGGCTGCCTCCATGTGCCTCTTGGCCAACGTGGCACACGCCAACCGAGTCCGTGTGGGGTCCACCCCCCTGGGCCGCCCCAGCCTCTGTCTGCCCCCCACCTGCCACACTGCTTGTCCCTTGCCAGGGACCTGCCACATTCCCGGCAACATCGGAATCTGTGGGGCCTACGGCGAAAACACCCTGAATGGCCATGAGAAAGAGACCATGCAGTTCCTGAACGACCGCCTGGCCAACTACCTGGAGAAGGTGCGCCAGCTGGAGCGGGAGAACGCGGAGCTGGAGAGCCAACTCCGTGAGAGGAGCAAGTGCCACGAGTCCACCGTGTGCCCCGACTACCAGTCCTACTTCCGCACCATCGAGGAGCTCCAGCAGAAGGTGAGGTGTGGGATCGCCTGGGCGTGCTGGGTCTGAGAAGCCAGACGGCGTGGCAGGAGGAATCCATGTCAGGCTCAGGGAGCTCTGGGTTCTTGGCTTCTCCTGGACATGAGCACAGACACCACACGTGGAGCGGGAGCCTAAGGTATGATGCTTTGTGTGTGAACTGTCTTCCTGTTTTCCTCAGATCCTGTGCAGCAAGGCTGAGAATGCCAGGCTGATTGTACAAATTGACAATGCCAAGCTGGCCGCCGATGACTTTAGGATCAAGTAAGTCTGGCAGAGGAGGGCCAGGATGACCCCTTCCCCATCCTCCTGCCCAATGCCCAAATACTTGTTGAGTGAGCGAATCATTGTCCTTTCTTCCTTGCTAGATTCTCCCCAGTAAAATTTTCATTACAATCAAAACTGATAGAAGATGGAGGGGAAAACCCCTCATTAATCCAAGCATGTATGTTTGTCCTTCTTCATTTATTTCCCTAAAATGGAGGATAAGGCAGCCTGAATCCATTAGCCAGGAGCAAAACGAAGTGATTTCAAGGATAAACTGAGCAAGACAGCCATTCGTTTTCATACATAAGTCAGGGGAGTCATAGATGAGTCTTTGTCCAGATTTAACTATGGAGCCCTAAAGTACCAGGTATGAGGTACTTAGGCAAAAACCAGAGGGCAAGGCAGCTGAAAGCAAGGGATAAGGAGCCGCGGATCACAATTGGGCCCCTGGCTATTGCTTATCTTGGGTAACTGACGGCCGCTGCAATGGTGTGAGCACTGGACTGGGTCCCAGGACACACAATCTTAGGCAAGTCAGTTGATCTTCATGAACCGCGGTTGCCACAGAATACAATGGCAAAAATGTGTACAGTGCAATGTAGTGTTGTGATTGCTTCATCAGACCACGAGCTCTTTGAGAAGGGCTGTGTCTAATTCACCTTTGAGGCCAGAGAGCTAAACAGAGTGAACAAATGAGGATCCAAGGTGGTGTGGGAGGTGGGGGCCCGGGGCAGCCGAGAGGGGCTCTTGGGGGAATTCTTGTTGACCCTGTACCTCCTGTGACGGAAGGCTGGAGAGTGAGCGCTCCCTGCGTCAGCTGGTGGAGGCGGACATGTGTGGGACACAGAAGCTCCTCGATGATGCGACCCTGGCCAAGGCGGACCTGGAGGCCCAGCAGGAGTCCCTGAAGGAAGAGCAGCTCTCTCTAAAGAGCAACCATGAGCAGGTACGGCCCTGGCCGCTCAGACTCCCGGGGAGGGCACTGGGTAGATAGGGGAGATTCCTGGCCCTGGGGCTCTCAGGGCAGAGCCTGGGCTCAGCTGGCATCGGCACGCAGGGCTGAGGTGGGTCTGAGGGTCCAAAGGGCCTCTGTGGAAGGTGCAGACTTGCCTTGGCACAAGGAAGGTGTCCAGGTGGGCTCTCCCGACTGCACCCTGGGCAAGACTTTCCCATTTGCTTGCGTATGGGGCTCCCCTCCTACTGCTTGCCAGGGGTGGGGTCCTGGTGCCGTCTGCTCCATCGACGGCCCTCTCCTCACGCAGGCTGTCTGTCCCTTCCTCCCTTCTGCAGGAAGTGAAGACTCTGAGGAGTCAGCTGGGGGACAAGATGCGGATCGAGCTGGACATTGAGCCCACCATTGACCTGGGCAGGGTGCTGGGGGAGATGCGGGCTCAGTACGAGGCCATGGTGGAGACCAACCGCCAGGACGCGGAGCAGTGGTTCCAAGCCCAGGTGAGCAGGGGTACAGAGCCGGGGGCATCCGGCCTCCATCTGGGCAGGGAGGTGACTGTGCCTCTCTGTGCTCCAGTCCGAAGGCATCAGCCTGCAGGCCATGTCCTGCTCCGAGGAGCTGCAGTGCTGCCAGTCGGAGATCCTGGAGCTGCGATGCACCGTGAACGCCCTGGAGGTGGAGCGCCAAGCCCAGCACACCTTGGTACGTGACCTTCACCCTCACTACACTGCAAACGCCAGGTGCCATGGGCTAGCAGCATTTTATTTCGGAGGTCTCCCTATTCCAGGTTTCTCCTATTTGCAAACTCATTGATCGTGGATTTCTTTTTTGTCTTTATTAGAACGATCAGGTCAAATCCAGAAACACAGCTTAACAAAACAATGTCTCTTTTAAAACATATTTAAGAATAGGCATTTAATGCACCAAAATTTACTGAGTTCTAATTTTTTGGGGGGCATTGGAAATATAGAGATCAATAACATGCAGCCAGTTAAGTTTTGGAGGCAGTGCTGGTTTGGGAAAAGACTTGTTCACTGTCAACTTGATTTATCAAGGGCTCTGGGGTATGAGTTCCTGGAATTCACCCTGTGCTAGGTGAGTTTCGACACTGCAGCATTTTTAGCCACTTTGATGGTTATCACCATCAAAATCTGGGGCATGTGGCAGTTTCTCTGGGGACCTTGGGTATTTTATCCCCACAATTTCCCACTGCAGAAGGACTGCCTGCAGAACTCCCTGTGTGAAGCCGAGGACCGCTTTGGCACGGAGCTGGCCCAGATGCAGAGCCTGATCAGCAACGTGGAGGAGCAGCTGTCCGAGATCCGCGCTGACCTGGAGCGGCAGAACCAGGAGTACCAGGTGCTGCTGGACGTGAAGGCCCGGCTGGAGAACGAGATTGCCACGTACCGAAACCTTCTGGAGAGCGAGGACTGCAAGTACGTGTGATCTGGGCAATTCCCGGCCAAATCATTGACCCAGTTCTCATGAGGTCCTCAGAGCAGCAGAGGGGCTGTCTGTCCATAGAACGAGGCTCTCTGTGCACTCCTTTTCCATGAGTCGTTGCCTGGTCCTGCACCCTCCATGTGGTTGACAGAGTGAAGGGAATGACCATCCGCTTAGAGGACACTGATCAGGTCTCCGTGGGGGCTGCTTGAGGTAGCCATGATCCGATGAGAGTAGACACGGGGTCGCTGCTCAAACAGGAGACATGACCACTGATCCAGCATATTTTTGGACTTGCTTTTCTCTTCTTAAATACTTCCTAGGAATTTTTATTCTATAGGATCACTTTAATCATATAAGGCCTTTTAGAAACCACCTATGTAGTCTAACCCTAGAGGTGCTTACTCTGCGAATGGTCACAGGCTTCAGCAGGGTCCATGTCCTGTTGTTTTGCAGCAGGGACCCCTTCCTCATGCCCCCACATGGCACTGAGACCCCATTTATTCCTTGCCTCTGACTTCACTCACCTTGTCTCTCTGCAGACTCCCCTGTAATCCGTGCTCCACGCCTCTCTCCTGTGTGGCTGCCCCCTGTGCTCCTCGCCCAAGCTGTGGCCCCAGCACCACCTGTGGAGCCAGCACCGGAAGCCGACTCTGAATTCCTGTGGACCCGTGGGGGCTGGCTAAGGCGAGGGATACCCAGACAGAGATGCTTGTTATACCTTTAGAAAACTTGGCTTCTAACTTTCTGTATGTATAGGCCTGTCCAAAGGCTATAAGACACCAGGGACAGAGAAATCTTGATGCAAAATCCCTCCTTTCCAACTCTGGATTTCCCAGATGAGTTCTATGCCCTCAGCGGATGGATTCCAACCACCCATGGTGGTTCAAAATATCTGGATTGGAGAGACGTAAGGTTGAAAAAGCGTTCTGCAGTGGGAGTACAGCATGATTCAAAATTGCACCTGCACTTCAAGGACACCAAGTTTAACTTGAAATTTTTAAAGTTTGTGACAAAGGAAGTGAAGAACAGGCTTCCCTGTCTGAGATTCCCCATGTTTCTTGGGTTGGTTTTAACACTGCCAGCCTGGATTATGGCATCAGGGAGAGGGAAATAGAACCAGAATTGTACCTGATCTTTTCTTTTTCAATTCCCTTCTCCTATCCTCCTGCCTCCCTACCTTGGATGCTGATTAAGTAGAACATTTCCTGGTATCAAATCCTGAGTTCTCTCTACGTCAGGGTTTCTACCTTTGACAAAGGACCAGATTTCCCTTTTCTGTGTCAACACAGCCTCTTACATATGGCTTACATAGCTTCTTGCTATGTGAAAGGAACTTTCATAAGAAATGTCTCTTTTTTTTCTCTATAAATTCCGACTCTCAAGACTCGTCTGGCTATAACCCCTGTCCCTATCTAATTCTCCTAGTTTAAAATCTAAACAATGACTTCAGTCTTTTCCTAGTATTTCCTCCTGAAGTGCTGAAACCTGTTGATTTACCAGGTGGAGAACTGCTAGGTATGATGTGCTTCCACCTCTTCTCCTACTCTCTACCTTCCTTACCGTGATTCAGCCACACTGGCCTTTCTGTTCTTTGGACATGGCTGGAGACCTGTCCCTGCTCTTCTACTCTCTGGGCTGCTCTTCCCCCTCCCTGTAAATGTTCAGGTCAGTTGCCAGTTTCCTTCCTCGGAGAGCTCCTGCTTGACTATCCGTGTAAAGGACTCACAACCCCTGACACTGTCCTGCTCATTTAGCACCTCCAACAGCTGAACTTGCCTCTGTATCTATCGTTTTCCCAATCAAAATGCTTACCCAAGATTAGCAATTGCTCACTGCTGCATCTCCAGAGCCTAGCCCACTGCTTGGTACATAATGGATGCTTAATAAATATCTGTCGCAAGAACGAACGTTTCTAGTCCTGACTTTATCTCTGACTTACGGGGTTTTTTGAATCATCGCTTCACACACCTAAGCCTCAGCATTTTTTTTCTGCTACGAAACAGAGATAATGTTATTGTTCATACTTATATCCCAGGTCTGTGATGAATTCGAAGATAACAGAAACAAAAATACCCTGAAAAGGAGAGAGCACACCAGAAATCCTCACCCAGAGCCAAGATTGATTGTATAATGTTTAAGGAGTGCAGGGGCTGACCCACATGGCCAGATTTAAGGGCCACCCATGACCTCAGGCTTCTTCTTATAGGCAGGTAAATAAATTTCCTCTAGCATCTAAATTCAATCAGAAACAAAATAGCGCACGGAATAACTTACTTCCCAGAGCAAACTGCATTTGAGTATTTGCATTAGGCCAAAGAATGAGAAAACTTGGCTCGAAGGGGCAGAACCTTCTAAGCAACTTCTTTCTATTGAGTCCATCCAAGAAGAGGGGACCCACTTTCACGGGGGGTCTTGTTTCCATTTTTCCCTTTGGTTTCACCAGGGATAAAGTGATGGGAGAACACACCTCAGTCTCGTGAGGCACTCTGTCATTCCAAGAGCCATCACGATCTCTGCAGAACTTCAATTTGGAGACTCGGGGGAAGGCAGACTAGGCCCATTTGTGCTCCTGATTTCTGAATGCGATTACCAGCTATTTTTCACTGGAAAAAGCTCTGAGTTTAGTCTCACTCCTCATCACGTCTTACAGCTTCATTGGAGAAAATGCAACAAGGAGAAATGGATGTGATGTGGACCATTGATGTGAGGGTAAAGGCATGGTTCAAGCCAGCCTCCTTTTCCTAGGGAAGGAACTGTTTGGTTGCATGTGGGGGCTCCAGCTTGTGGTGCTAAATGCTAAATGTGGGCCTGGTGGTAAAGGCATATCCTTCTAGAAGACCCTCTCATGCTCCCAAGCCATTTTCTCTGAAGCTGATTGACTAGGTTAGGCTATGTTATGTGGCAAGAACAGAAATCTTGGAGATGCTGCTTTTTAGGAAAGAGTCTCCTGCTTCAGGCCAGCCCCAGTCTCCTGACAGTACCTGGGAGATTTCCTGCCTTACTACCAACGGCAACATATACATCACCTGGAGCCTGCTTTTGCGTTCCTTCTCTTTGATTGTTAAAATAAACATTTGAAAGTAACTTACGGTTTTCAAATGGAGTTTTATACCACAGTGGTTTCTCCTGCCTGGTGTTAAAGGCAGTCTCTTCCCTCTGAGAACAGAGAGCCGCACTACAGCTCTTGTAGGGCAGACATCATAACTGCTTCTAAAAGATGAAGCTCACAGAGGTTAAATCACTTGACTGAAGATATGCACTTAGCAAGTGTTTGAGCCGGGACTTGGACCTAGATTGCTCTGGCTGCAGATCAACTCTTACTGTGTCACATCGCCTGAGTGTTTCATCTGTGTTCCTTCGAGTGGCTCTGAGCTGCCTTTTTTTTTTTTTTTTTTTTTTTGAGGCGGAGTTTCGCTCTTGTTACCCAGGCTGGAGGGCAATGGTGCGATCTCAGCTCACGGCAACCTCTGCCTCCTGGGTTCAGGCAATTCTCCTGCCTCAGCCTCCTGAGTAGCTGGGATTACAGGCACGTGCTACCATGCCCAGCTATTTTTTTTGTATTTTTAGTAGAGACAGGGTTTCACCATGTTGACCAGGATGGTCTCGATCTCTTGACCTCGTGATCCGCCCGCCTCGGCCTCCCAAAGTGCTGGGATTACAGGTTTGAGCCACCGCGCCCGGCCTGAGCTGCCTTTTAAAGGGAGATCCTGCAAAGTAAGCCTTGGATGCCCCTGTCTCTCACATGCAGGGTCACCGACACAGTGTGATTTGGAAAGGAGACAGAGGTGGGTTTATTTAGCACAAGACTTACAGAAGGACAGTTGTAAAAGTGAGTTCCCCGAACCAGCTATCCTACCCTGAGCTCATTGCTACCCAAACTGTTGCAAAGCGCTTTGTCTGTGTTGACCATTTAAAGTGTCATTATCAGTGTTGAAGGCAGAGTATATCATTACCAGAGAACAGCCCTTCCCAGTGATGTAAAACCAAATGAGCCGGCTCTTCTCTTGCCAGAGATTGCCTGCCCGAGTGGTGGAATGAAGCAGCTGTCGGCTTTAAGGCGACCAGACAGCCAATTTATATAATTCTCTTATTTTCATAAAAGGACATGGGTTAAATGCAAAGTTAAATGTGATCTACCTCTGAATGTTCTGTAGGACTTTTCAAGCAATCTCATTACTGGCTATATACCCAAAGGATTATAAATCGTTTTATTATAAAGACACATGCACATGTATGTTCATTGTGGCACTGTTTATGATAGCAAAGACTTGGAACCAACCAAAATGCCCATCAATGACAGACTGCATAAAGAACATGTGGCACATGTACACCATGCAATACTATGCAGCCATAAAAAACGATGAGTTCGTGTCCTTCGCAGGGACATGGATGAATCTGGAAACCATCATTCTCAGCAAACCGACACAAGAACAGAAAATCAAACACCGAATGTTCTCACTCACAGGTGGGTGTTGAACAATGAGAACATGTGGACAAAGGGAGGGGAGCATCACACACTGGGGTCAGTCGGCGGGGGGGCTAGGGGAGGGACAGCAGGGGGTGGGGAGTGGGGAGGGTGGGGAGGGATAATGTGGGGAGAAACACCAGATATAAGTGATGGGCAGATGGAGGCAGCGAACCACCTTGCCATGTACGTACCTATGGAATGATCTGCATGATCTGCACATGTACCCGAGAACCTAAAGTACAATAATAAATAAATATATTTTTAAATGAAAACAAGTCTTGCCTTAATTCTGACTTGACTTGGCAGCACAGAGTTTAGAAGTTTTGTATCGTTGGTGCAGCATGCTCTGGTTTGGCTTTATGCTGTGTCTGTGCACACAGCATGCAGGCATTCCTTCAGCACATAGTAACTGGGTATTACCGTGCACCAGTTACTGAGAAGGATAATGCTGAGTATGATTTGCTCCAGAGCTGAGCTCATTTAGTCACTTCTGTTTTTATCAACTGAGTGCTTTGTTATGTTAGGTGCTGTACTGGGAATTACAGAGATGAACAAGACAAAAGCAGTAAGATAAAATTTCTGCCTCTAAGGGGCTTCCAGGAATCCTAACAACAAAATGAAGTGGGTTACATTCAAGGCAAGCTAACAGTCAATGTGAGTGGAGAAAAGGAACTGATTGAATGCTCTGCGAGGCTGGAGAAAGCTTCCCCTTGAAGGAATCTCTTGAGCTGAGAAGCACAAACTCTCAGGAATAGACTTGACTTTCAGAACCTTTCAAAATCACAGTATTCAATACTACTGGCTTTTTTCCCCCCTGAAATGGAGTCTTTCTCTGTCGTCCAGGCTGGAGTGCAGCAATGTGATCTTGGCTCACTGTAACCTCCACCTCTCGAGTTCCAGCAATTCTCCTGCCTCAACCTCCAGAGTAGCTGGGACTACAGGCATATGCCACCAGCCCCGGCTAATTATTGTATTTTAGTAGGGTTGGGGTTTCACTACTACTGCTACTGCTACATGATGGCCGGGCTGGTCTCGAACTCCTGACAGGTGATCCACCCACCTCAGCCTCCCAAATTGCTGGGATTACAGGTGTGAGCCACCGTGCCCGGCCACAATACTGCTGTATTTTCAATGAGGAAAATCAAACAGGCTTGTCAGTATTTCTCTAGTTTACTGTGCATAATTCATGAAGTGGGCCAAATAAATAGTTCTACAATGACGCATCCAGAATTTAATATTTTATCTAATTCCTAAATTACTCACTCTTCGAGTTCCCATGATTGTGATTTTCTCCTTTCTACTTACTGCACCTTTGCCCCATGACCATCTACAGCCAGATCAGTGAGAATTTTATTAGCTTAACACCCATAGGAAATGGTCCCCTGAAAGGCACAGAGGAATGGACTGATAATATTGAGGGGAGACCCATAGGCTGAAGTGGGCACAGAACAGTGGAGATAGTTCCTGGCCTAATACCCCAAGGGTTTCTACAGGGTACCCCTATACTTCTCTCTATGTAAGCACGTCTATAGGATAAATTCCTAGAGGTGAAAATTACTGGTCAATGGGTGCATTTGTAATTCTAACAGATACTGCTGAACTGTTTTGTAAAGAGGTTGTACACTTATTCTTCCCCTCAACAGTGTATGCGAGTCCTGTTTTTCTACATTTTGCTATGATCATGACATGAATCTATTTCATTTTATTTTACTTTACCATGGTAAGAATACCTAACATGAGAGGTATCCTCTTAAAAAAACTTTAGGTGTACAATAAATTACTATGGACTCCAGGTTCAATGCAGTACAGGAGGTCTCTGGGTCTTATTCATCTTGCTTGACTGAAACTGTATGTTCATTGATTAGTAACTCTCTGTTTCCCCTTTTCCCTCGGTCTCTGGAAACCGCCATTCCACTCTTTGATTCTATGAATTTGCCTATTTTAAATACTGTGTATAAGCAGAATTATGCAGTCTTTCTGTGACTGGCTTATTTCACTTAGCATGTCTTCAGGGTTGAATTGGACTCTTTTGGATATCTCATGAAAGCAGAATCATGCAGTATTTGCCTTTTTGTGATTGGCTTATTTCATTTAGCATAACGTCTTCACGGTTTATTCATGTTGCATATTGCAGTATTTCCTCTTTTTTAAAGGCTGAATAGCATTTCAGTGTTTGCATATACCAATTTCTTTTTCTATTTATCTGTCAACTGACATTTAAGTTGCTTCCCCATTCTGGCTACTGTGACTACTGCTGCAATGGCCACAGGAGTGTCAACATCCCTTTGAGATCCCGATTTCAATTCTTTTGGATAATACCCAGAAGTGAGGTTGTTGGCTCATATGGTAATTCTATTTTTAATTCTTTGAGGATTCTCCATATTGTTTTCCCTAGTGGCTGCACCATTTTGCATTTTCCCAACAGTGTGGAACGGTTCT